TACAGCATTTTTTCACACCTGCCCAAAATTTTTGCACAGTACTGTATATAATGAAATGTAACAATGATCTTAATAGACCAACTGAGACCTATCAAATCTAGTGTTGGTATTGGCTGAGAATTAGGGTGCTTTCACACTAGCCTTTTAATGTGAATTGTCATATTTTGCTGACTCATTTTATACTGATCATCTACACAGTTATTCTCCGCTTCCTGTCATCTTGCATTTTTCATGTTCTTGTTTCTAGGGCTGCAGAAAGTCCAGCTTAACAAACAAACAAGGAACAGTTAGCTGCCACAGCTAATACTGCTCAGGAGATCATTCTTTATAAACACTGCAATAGGTACCATTTAAAAACTTATTTCTCAGTTGTTTAACTGACAGTGATCAGCAAATGTTTTAATCTTTTAAGAGATATATATTATGGTTGAAATACAATTTATACTAATCAGCTTATGAAAAGGCAATGACTGCAAAAAAAAATTTCTACCTTAGCTTTATAATGTTACAACACTATCTCATTATTGTGATATTTTACAGCACATGCATGTACACATATGTATATGGATTTTAAAAAAAACATCAAGACGTGTTTTTTAAAAAATAGAGTGATAAAGTGGCATCCCCTGCAGAAGTCACAATGAAAATATGCTGAGTTTTAAATGGTCAAATAGATGACATGTTTTCTTCCCACAAAAATTGAAAGAACAGTGGGATGAACATACAGTAAGTGTAACATTCTTGATAGTGTGGAAATTCAGCTGCAATTTCACTTGCAACTTGCAGAGGAAATGCAATGTTTGGGTAGCATTAGGAACCGTATTTGGAATATCTTGGTATACTGATTGAGGAAGCAGAAAAGGGAGTAATTTGTATGGGTAATTAGTCTTAATTCCTTACTTGGTATATGAGGAAAATCAAATTTCTTATTTGTATGTGTACATACACATTTTTATGGTTCTTTTAATGCATTCAACTGAGCACCACACTTAATGGCTAATGTAACTAACTAAGCTAACTCTAGCTAATGTAAAAATGTGGATTTCAGAATAAGTTGTGCATCAAGTTTTCATGTACCAAAGATAAATAGCACAAACTGAAAGTCTGAAGCTAACATTTTGTAAGACCTGATGTAATATGCAGTATCTGTGATACAAATTTTCTGTTGGAACAACTTCATTAATCTAGTGCCCTCCAAACATGTTGGATTGCAGCTTCCACAGTTTTGTTGGTCCTTGCTGTATAACAACTATAGAAATTATACTATAGACCCACACTTCCAGTGGTCACCAGATTGGAAAACTCAATTCTGTGGTCTTGGACCATTTCTGTGGGGAATCACTTGAACTCCGTTCTTCCTTCTTTCAGCAGTTACCTTCTTTGGGGTTCACGAAAAGGATGAGTTTTATATTCCACAAGCAAATATATAACACTCTGTCTCAGTGCAGTTATTGTAACTCAGATTAGTGGTGAACAGCATTCCCAGAAAGAGGATAGATTTGCCACTCTGGTTAAGCAGATTTCAGTTCCATGTACGGTGACAGAGCTATAATTGAAGAAATTAAATTTTGCACAACCCTTTTCTCTAGCTGTCTACCGTCATCATGTTTACAACACTGGAAGTGTGCTAAATTCTGTGTTTAAAATGGAGTCTGTAATATAGAGTAGTTCTTAATTTTGTTAAAAATATTTAAACACATATTATCTGCATTTCTACAGAAAAGGTGATACTTTTAATACTTTTCCTTAGCTGTAAACTGAATGAAAGCTGCTATGGCTGACACTCAAATAAAGCAACATAAATGTATCGTAGAATAACATTTTATGAAATTCTAACCTCACTTGCCAGTGAACTGGCACCTTAGAATATTGTTGTAAACTACCTTGAGTGCTTATACAAGCAGAAATGTGGGCTATAAATTCAATAATAAAGATACAAACATATTCATGGTGTTGCATCCATTATGCATTCTCAGAATAGTTGCTGCGAGTCCATGTTAAGCCATAGCACATTTTGGTTGTATGAATCCATCCATTGTTTTAAATTAGTTTATAGCTGCAATATTAATTGTGGCATATTTATAAAGCAAGGGTAAGTATATAACTTAGTGTAGAGGTGAAGGCATCAGGCTAGAAACCAAGAGACTCTGAGTTATAGGCCTTAGGCACGAAGCCAACTGGATGACCTTGGGCCAGTCACTTTCTCTCAGCCCTAGGGAGCAGGTAATGGTAAACCACTTCTGAAAAACCTTGCCAAGAAAACTGAAGGCACTTCTCCAGGCAATTGCCAGAAGTCAAAAACTGACTCGAAGGCACCAAAAAAAAAAAGTATATTACAGTGCTGTGGAAACCCAGTCACTGGCATGGACTCCAGACACTTCCACATCAAGTTGTGGCAATGGAAATTTGCCCTTCAGGTCAAGAAATAAAATACAGTGCATTTTTCAATATTATTATTTATTTTTTATTTATTTATCAAATTTATATGGCTGCCCATGTCACAAAAAGTGACTTTGGGCAGCATACGACAAGTAATAAAACAATATGTAAAAATAGTCATTAATAAAAATAGAAATCATTATTAAGATATAAAAAGCCCAGGAGAAAGTGAATATTAATTACAATAATGGCAGTACCTTAGAATGTCACTGGTCCCCTGGGACCTCCAGGCTTGATAACAACCAGGTCCTGAGGGACTTCTGGAACATTAACATTATGCTATTAACTGGGACCTTGATGCTGGTCAGAGAAAGGAACAGATGAAGTGGGGAGATGCATAGAGTGCCATCATGGTGCAAATCAGGAATGTTCATAGAACTACATTACTTAAGCATCTACAAAGTGAGAAATGACACAAAACCACTACTGATTTGCATCAGATGTCACAATGACAGTTTGTAAATTTGTGTCATGACATTATTGCATGTACACTTGGATGTAATCTCAGTTTGCTGTGGATGCCCGTGCTCTATTAGCACAAATTTAATTAATGGAGCCATTCTAAAATACCGTGTTTTAATTTTGCATTCTCTCCATAAATGTTAGATGACATGCCTTTATTATTAATACTTTGTAAAATAAATACGATGACTTGTGAATATGTGCCTGTGTTAAAGAAAACCTCAAGGGGGGAAATCTTTTCTTAGACTAGAGACTTGATCCAGAGTTCACTTCAGATTGCCGTAACAACTTTTGAGCAGAATTCTCAGGACATTCCTATTTGTGGAAAAGCGATAGTCGGTATGAGGACTTGACTTGCTTGGTGAGCCGAGCTCTGCCAAAAAAATCCCTACCGCGCTGATTTGCCAAGAGGGCGCTACCCTCCCACTCTTTAACCAACTGTTCTAAGACTAACTTGACTGAACTTGCTTTTGCGCGCCAATGTGTAACGTAGTCAAGTATGAAAATATTGGCTGCCTCTCTGACCAATTGGACTCCTCTCTTCTCGGGGACTTTCCGTTCTCCTCCTCAATTGGGCAAAAACTCCTACAGCCTCACTTAGCTCGGTGCTCTGAGACTAAAACGGAGACTTTGGGGGGCGGGAGGGATTGTGATTGGTTCCACCGGCGAAAGAAAAGAGGATTGGCAGCTTCGGAAGCCGAGTGGGCCAGGCGATTCCCGGGCAAGGCAAGACTCCTCCCCTTTTCTCCGGCTAGAATTCGATTGCTGTGAAAGGAATCCCTAGAGAGATTTAGAGCCTGAACAATGGAGAAAGTGCTGTGCTCCGGTCACGGTGAGGTTGTAGGATGGCTAGGAGGGTGGACGGGGTGACTGAGCAGGAAACCTTGGCTGGGGTGTCGAGTCTGGCTTGTTAAATTCGACGGGGATCAGGCTCTCCCCCGTCAGTTTTTCTAGTGGTGACTATGCAGTGTCAGAAAAAAAGGTGGGTTAACACAATATGCAAGTTTAAGAATGCTCTGTTTTCTAGGTACAGTACTGTTGTGAAGCGTGTGTCCGCTGTCCAGGCGCGGATGGGCAGCTCAAGCCCTGTGCTTCCGGTTTAGGATGTTTTGTCTTTAACCCACCCCTGAACAGGACGCAGACCTTCAGGCAATAGGATAGCAAGTCATCCGAAGTCTCGGTTCTGGTTTCCATGATTGCAGAACCAAAGACAGTTGTTATTTTTTGGCGGCAGCAAAAGTGGCTTTGTGCTGCTTTCCTTATAGATGTATTCTGCTCTTAGGTTTAGCTGTCTGATTGTAAGATGAGTAGGTTTAAAACATTTGCTTCCTGATTTGTAGCAATAAATGGCTTCCCCCTTATCCCTCCCCCATTTACAGGAAGTAAAAGCCCATTCTAGTCAGACGATTTTAGCACCGTAAACAGAAAATTTCAGAAATCCTTTTTCCCCCTGCTTTTGGGCAGTAATGTAATAAAACCAAAGTTTCATTTTATGAAACCAATTGTAATAATAAAGTGAATTATTACTTGTTAAAAAAGGGGAATTAAAATAATGTAGTTGAAAGATTTTATATAGGACAGAATACAGTTCAGAATTTGAGGGTCCTTTTTGCCACAAATAAAACAAAAAGCAGGGACTTAGGAATCCACAGAATGATATCCATCATATGGCACACAGAAATATTTGTGGAGTCCCAGGAGTTCTCTGAGCTTGGCTGTTTTCTTGCAAACGTTTCATTACCTGGCTAGGTAACATCTTCAAGTGCTAGAATGGAATGGGGTTTGAAGATGTTACTTAGCTGAGTAATGAAATGTTTGCAAGAAAACAGCCAAGCTCAGAGAACTCCAGGGACTGACTCCACAGTTCAACCTGAGATACACATATTCTCTTCTAGTGGTAACACAGAAATATTTTTCTGTACCACTAGGCATGATGGCCCTTGTCTGTTTATTTTCTCTCTCAGCCTAACACTTCTCACAAATTGATAAGTGGGGAGCTGGGTAAAATTTGAATTCCTGGGGAAGGGGCCTATTGATAGCAGATGACAAGTTCCTAAAGGGTGTCATATAGGAAAAAGCCACACTCGAGTTTCAATTAAAAGCCAGACCCAGAAAATGTGTGTGTATGTTAAATTATAGGAAGGCAGGTTCTAGTTAAATGTTTTAAAACAAGTAAATAAAACATTTGATAGTAGAATCAGTTTACTAAAGTGATGCTATGCTCCCTTTCATTGGATGTGTTCAATCAGAGGCTGGATAGATATTTGGAGGGAAAAGGTACAATTTGGGTTCCCCCTCTCAGCAGGAGTTGGACTTGGTGATATAAACAGCATTTCCAATTCTATGAACCACAGAGAAAGGGTAAAAGTAAAATTGATAAATGAGTCTTGTGAATCCTTGAAGTGAGGTATTTTTTTAATTGGCTGGCTTGCGAAGAGAGATCTCTTTGGAGAAGACCCTGATGCTGGGAAAGATTGAAGGCAAAAGGAGAAGAGGACGGCAGAGGATGAGATGGTTAGATAGCATCACTGAAGCAATGAGCAT